ACATGTCTCGTCAAACCTACCCACAATTTAATTAAAAAAAGTATGAACCAAAACTTCTTAGCTAAAATATTTTTCTTTCCACGACTACTCCTCAATTGATTTTCTTTTAATTGGATATAGAGTTTAAAAGATATAACTATCAAAGTTGATTAATCCATAAGGACTAAAATTTTATTGAGTACACAAAATCCAACAGTAGATAGGCTCGTCAATGAGTCGGCTTCAAATCAAAATTGAATATTTTGAATTCAAACCTGTTCAATTATACTTATTTCATAATCGACCCATGTACCCAACGAGTCTAATACTTGATTTCCCGAACAGGGCTGCAAACGAATCGAGCCGTTCGAGTCGAACTCGAGCTCAAAATATTAAGCCGGCTCGCGAGCTCGAGGATATATATTAAATTGTTAAGTAGTACATCAAATACATTTGAATGTATATCACATTTAATAATTTAATTCAGTACTTAAATTTAATGGATTCAGATATTAACATGTTCAGATGAGTTTGATAATAAAAAATTGAACATTTAAATTAATTAAATAAAAATTAAATTTTTTAGATAAAATTTACTCTCAAAATTAAGTGATAAGTTATTCACTTATAATTGAATGTGATATACACTCAAATATATTAGATTTAATACATAACAATTCAATAATTTAATGAATTCAAATTTCAGGTTTTGATTTTTAGGTTTCAGTTTTATCAAACGCAGACTATGTGATAAATGAATAGTTTATCACTTATTTTTAGAAACGAGTTTTGCCTAAAATAATCAGTATCACTTAATAAATTCAGATGTTCCATTTTTTGTTCATCAAACGCTTATTAACATGTTAAAATCTGAATCTATTAAATTTAAGTTAAACTGAGTTATCAAACAGGGTCCAGTTAATTTAATCTCTAAACTTTTGTGTCTTAGTAGATTTAGGTGTTTTAGCCAATGCATAATCGAGTCATAGTTCAGCAATTAGTGTATTTGGATAGTAAATTATTTGAAATAATTTTTTCAAATTGTAAGATTTTTCTTTTGTATAATGTATTTGAGATAAAAAAATAATAATAAATATATATTAATATTACAAATAAATAAATTTTGACAAATAGTCTACTGTCCATTTTTAAGGTAGGGTAATACCCTTCCCTTGAAAAACGAAACAGAAGGAGAGCGGAAAGCTTTTTCCTGGTTAGAAATATAAAGCCGGGTTTTCTTGGGCGGCGGAGGCTCATCGGCAAAGGAAAAGAACCGAAGAAAGTTGAAAAGAAATGTCACGGAGCATCTCGTACATTACCTCCTCTCAGCTCCTCTCCCTGAAACGTCGACCCAATATTGCCATCGTAGACGTTAGGTAACTCTTACCAACCATCAATCAATTTACTTACTGCTCTCTCTATCCCTCTATTACTTGTAGTTTCGATTCATTAATTGGTAGTAAGAACAATATCTTCACGAATTGCTTTTAAATCTTCAAACACATCTAAAGAGATGACGAAAGGAGTTACGATGGGCACATAGCTGGATCGCTCCACTTCGCCAGCGATACTTTTCTTGACAAAATCCCGAGTCTTATTGATGCCGCTAAAGGGAAGGACACCTTGGTTTTCCATTGCGCTCTCAGCCAGGTATTGCAGTTGCTAAAGCTCACGCTTTTGGTTTACTATTTCACTGTAGAACTTCAATATATATAAAAGTAGGTTTGCACTGCAATTTGTAAGAACCCACGATCTAATATCTTTTTTCTGCATTCTAGCGCTTTTTTTTTGGCCCCCTTTTGCGTTGGCACTGTCTGTGAGTATTTTAATTTGATCCATTATCAGTGAAATAAGCATGACGATTGACGGGTTTTGTTGGGTATGTCAATTAGAGTGGTTTGTCTTGGCAGCTGAGTAAACAGCAAAACCGAGGACTCTGTCGGGTGGAATCTTGTAGAGAGCGTTAGTTTTGCAATAACACTTCCTACTAATATTTTGCTACACTGATTGCACTATGTTCTCTTGGCTAAAGTGGGAATGCATGAAGGACAGTATGCAGGACAATTCACTTTCATCCTGTAGAATGATAGTAAAATTGAGACCTATACTTGGTCTGCCTTCTACATTTTTGGGTTCAGGAGTATCAAAGTCTTTAAGTTCTACAAGCAAGTATGCTGCTTGGTGCTGTTCTTTGGGACTCAGGTTTTGTTTGTTGTTGCATCATAAATTTCTCGATCGATCATATAATTCTTAATTGCTTCAGAAGATCTCTAAATTCAATTGGAAGAAGTCATTTATTCATGGCTTTTGTACTTTAACATCATATTGTGACAGAGGTTTCAAGGGATGGTAAGTATGCAAGTGTTGTTATGTTGGCGTATGCAAGTGTTGTTATTCATTCGTTTGGATTGAGGAATTTGATGAAGAATTTGAAGTCCATCCAAATCGCCCTAGTTGTTTGGATTGTTTAATAAGCATCTGGGTTTGTAATACACCAATTATTAAAATATATTTTAAATACTAGAATAATTTGTAATTTTCAAATCCAAATACTTCCTAAATATCATAAACAACTAGAGGGATTTGAGAGGATTTCAAATCCTTAATCAAATCCCTCAATCGAAATACAAAACACCCAGCAAAAGTGAACTGCATTTGTTGAGCCTAGGGTTTTTGGGGTTGGGGGGGGGTGGGTGGGGGAGGGGGGACAACAACAATAACCATCCTTTGAGCCATACAGTGAGACAACCTGGACAAGCAGTTGTCTGACTACGAGTTATAAATCTGGATAGACCACAAGTCACAATGGAACTGTTTTCCTTTTACTACCCAATTAATGATTTCTGCACTTTTCTTGTCGATCTCTTCATCAAATTAATATTTGTTTGAAAAAGCTCATCTCTCACTTTCTTGCGCTCTCTTTCGCTCTTCATGTTAGTTGTACTACATTAGCACCAATCTGTATCGAATTTGAATTTCTCTTGGTGTTTGTGGTTGACTTGGAGCATGGCATAAGGAAGAAAAGGAGGATAAGTGGTTGTTGTTTGGCAGGGGGGAGGTCTTTTTTTCTTTTTTTTGGGGGGGAGGGGGAGGGGTGTGTTGGGAGGGAATGATTAGTTATAATGCCACGGGTTTTTTGGTGTCGATATGTTTAATATTCTCCCATTGCAAGCCTTTTGTGACCAAGCACTCTTCTTTCGGTTGTTTATTTGTGAAGTTTTGAATTTAGATCTCAATGTAGCATTTTGAAAGTCCATAGGCATATTCCTGCTTTTCCAGAATCGCAATGGTTGACAATGGTAATTTTGCTTAAACTGTATTAGCAGTGAAGTGTGTTTTGATCTGTGGTACGGTTCCAAGTTGCATCTCGCATGTGCCAAGGTCTGTGGCCTTGCGCTGATTCGAAATTAGACACACTTCTGAGCTTCAGGGTATTGGCGCGTCTTCAGTGTCAAAATCCTGTATTCACTTTTCACTCCATGAATTTGATAGTAACAGGTTAGTCTTATTGTGGATCTTGGACAGAGAATTGACTGGCAACTGACTCTTCTGTAGGTTCGTGGACCAAGATGCGCCAGAAGGTTTGCTGATTATCTGGCTGAAATGAAAGAGGATGCCGGAATAAAAAATATTATGATTCTTGAACGTGGATACAACGGATGGGAAGCCTCGGGTAGACCTGTTTGCCGCTGCACTGAGATCCCGTGCAAGGGAGACAGCAGAGTACCTTCAGTTTAGGTGTGGCTTTGCCTGAGGGGGACCTAATTGCCCTTGAAAGATATATACAAGCTGGAACTCAAATCCGAACAATCATGTACGTGCTCCACGTAATATAGAATTTGGAAAGAAGCTTCAAATTTTTTGACCAGGAATGTATTTGTTATGAATGCTTTTTTTTTTTTTTTTGTTTTAAAGGGAGAATCTACCAACATTAAGCACGGTATCGTGGCCTAAACTGTCTAAGCTCTGAGTTTGTGGCTGTCTCAGAAATATAGATTTTTTTTTAAAAATCAAATCTCAGAAATATAAATACTCCCTTCGTCCCGTTTTGTTAGTTTTGCTCTTTTTTTTTCACACAGATTAAGAAAGTGTAATTAATTTGGTTGGAAACATAAATTTAGATTAATAATTTTCTAAAATACCCTTATGCTAATCACGAAGAGTGTCAATTAATATCAGTTACAGCTAATGGGTTAGTATTGGAAAAACTTAATGTATTCAATGTAGTGAGTTAGTATTTAATAACAATGTATTAATAACAAGATATTTAATAAGGGTATTTTAGATAATTTGAAAGATTACTACATTTTTTAATGGGAAAGTGGACTACAATTTGGGACAGACAAAAAAGGTAAATAAGACTATCAAAATGGGACGGAGGGAGTAGATTTGAGATGGCTCGCCGAATCCAAGGTTCGTTTTTTTATGCTTGAGAAGTGCCCAATTGATTCAGGCCGGAGGCAGGACATTCATCAAAGCAATCATTCAAACGGTTAATGCCATTTGACTACTGTTACAGGTCATTGCTTTTAACGGTTTACCATGAGAAACCGACCGGCTCTTGCTGTTTGTGATGAGATCCCAGCAAATTTCTCCTAAACTAGGAGGAGAACACCGCGCGATGCGCGGTGTAATTTTCAAGATTGCCCAGAAATGCCCAATGATTCAAATTCAAATATTAAGTATGAAAAGTTACAAAAAGATACACCAAAAACTTTGTCATTTTGTTTTTGTAGTTTTATTAAGCAGTGAATATGAATAATCTGTCAAAGAAATGCAAGACAATACAATGAATAGACTACTAAGAGCATTAAGATGCTCCTTGCTTTTGCATAGAATGAAAATAGAAATAAAAAAAGACACATGCAATGGAGGAGAAGGGAAAAAAATATTAGCTTGAAGAAAAACACAAAGTGAGTTGTTAGTTCCTAAAAAACGCATTTAATAGCTATAAGTTTGTTTTTTGTTGATAAAAATCACAGATCAAGTTGTCAGTTCCTAGAAAAGGATATTTAATAGCAATAAGTTTCCTTTACAGTATATTCAATCGAATAATAAAATGCATATACATGCAGTATAAAAAGAAAATCTACTTAGCGAGACTAAACCATATACCAATGCCAATTGAACAAATTGACAAAGAAAAGAAAAAAGTATTTCTAATTGGCCACAAGCAAAATGATTCTAGACTTTCGATGACTAATAGCATCAGAGAGCTCTAGCTTCATTCAGACTCTCCTCTCGTTCCCGTGAAAGGCTGAAAGCAAATACCTATCCAACAGTGAACGATGGGTTTAGAAAAACTTCTCTATAGACAAAACTCCAAGTTAAAAGCTACAGACAAGAAGCAATGTCATAAACCAGATTACTAAACATTTGAACAAAAAATTCCTCAAGAAAATATCATAGGAATTTGAATTTCTATGGAACACTTAATTCTGATTAGAAACATCAAATTTTGAAAAAAAAAAAACAATTTATACCAACCTATAATAATAGTCCGAAAGTCAAAATAAGCAAATAAATAAGTAAAAGGACAAGACAGTACCTTACGAGAAACCAAAAGCAATGAGATCCGACAAAATTTCTTGATGATATTAATGCAAATAACCCATGAGCGTCTTCACACTTCTGCTTTTAATGTTCTAAACAAACGAAAAGGAATATCTCAAGAACTGAAAAAGCAACAAAGACAATCTTAACCAAAGTCAGCAAGAATAATTAAACCCAGCAGGATAATGCATCATCAGTGGAACAGTTAAATCAAATAAAACTTGGATCTTCAGACATATTCAAAGTGTAATACATTTGAAATTATTCTACCTAAAGCAATAGTAGAAATCCAATCTTACTTTCAAGCTCTTACCATCTATAATGAGTCGATCAAAATCCAATTTTTCAATCATTCTAATAACTAATTCTACAACCATAGATGCAACTCACGCAAATTTTTCTCCAAAAAAAAATCGCTTAGGACTATGTAATTTTATTATTTCTTCTTAAAATGAGTATCTCCTTGATCAGTTCCAGTGCTTTTATCAGCAACTAAGAAAACACAACGTTTGTTGAAAAAAAAAACTAAGAAAGCACAAAAGTATTTTTTTCTTTTGTTTTAAAGAATCCATATACACTGTCCGGAAAATGAGAACCAAAACTTCACAAGGGAAAAAAATAAGAAAAATAGTTTTCTCCAAAATAAAGACACGAAAAAAATAACTAAAGTTTTTAATAGTCACTGACATGAAATTTGATCTCCACAAATGGAGACTTTGGGTTGGTTACCATATGGATCGTCTTTGTGAGTCAATAAGTGAACGTACCCCTGCACATAACAAACCAAAAAAAAAAACCCATCAGATGAGCCATGAAAACTCCATTTTCCAGAGTTTCTCGACAACCTTTTCCTTTAGTTTCTCTACCAAGTAATTTTTCCAGATATAATAAATATCATACAAGTTTGTACAGGGGGCTCTAGAGACCCAAAAGAAAGAAACAAGTAACATAGAAACTACTTAAAAAAGAGTACAAAAGTTAAAAAAATGAAAATAAAATAGAGAAAACCTGAGATGAAGAAGGACGAAACCCAAGGAAGCAAAATTGCCCGCAATGTTTCTCGGTGATGATCTTCTCTTGGCTGCATCTGTCTTGTGAGAAAGCATGGATAGAGAAAAAAGGAACAATATAGGCAAAATTTAGATATTAACCAGGTGAAAATTTTTGGGGAATAAAACCAATAAATATAGAAAGGAAATAAAGATTAAGAGGCAACAAAAAACAAGATAGTTTGGAGATCGATTCTGCAAATTTCCTTGCTTCTGGAGCTAAAGACGATCAAGCAGAGAGAGAAGATCTAGAACAACCCTATTATCCTACAAAGGGAAAAAAAATAACCACAACAAGCCACAATGTTAGACAACTAAACCAGAGAACAAAAAGGGAAAAAAAGGCTAGAGAAGTTTAGGCAGGGGAGGAAAGAACAAACCCTTTAAGCAATGAGAATAATCTTCTTAGAATATTTATATGAAAAACCGTAGGCAAGACACATTGCAAAAGATTTTCCATATCTGAACATGCAATATCACAACAAATATAAAGTTAGACAAGAAAACCCTCAAAAAAAATCTTTTAAAGACTACCGTATAACCACACCAAGCAATAAACAACCTGAAGAAACCAACTGCGCGTAGTTCTCTTTGTGAACTCTTCTATTTCTTTACCAGTCATAATGCACACAAAAGAAACCAAAAAACAAAATAATCACCAAATGATACCTAATAGTCATAAAATTTTAAAAATGAAAAAGAAAAATTCACAACCAAGAAATATCTACAAAATAACAGGAAGCTAACCTTAAAAGTCACTCGATTACCATGCAGATGCTTAATTTCTTTTCGTATCCCCTCCAGAATGATTTGACGTAATTTTTTTTGGGTCGATCTTGGTAGTCAAAATGGCAGCATTGGGAGAGAGGTGATAAATGCCAAGGTGATAAACACATCAGTACAGCATTGGGAGGAAACTACAAGGTGAGAAAACAAAAGTATGTCTAGAAAAAATGAAGCAATATTGATTGATCTCTTTCAACTATTTCTTCCTTTAGATAATTGTTTACCTTTTCTTCAACATCCACAGCTTCTAGAAGAATAACCTACATTATTTAAAAAAACCTTCAATATATGGCTATCAAAGACTATATTAGCATGATTGATAAATTCAGCATGGCAAATGATAGAACACGAGTATAATGCATAACAATTATGAGAAAAGATATCCACCTCAAGAGTACTTCAAACTGAACCTCCCAGCTTCATATATGATTCAGATGCATAACAATTCATGTTGAGAAGGCAATAGCTAAAAAAAAAAAGAATTGGTAAAATTAACAATTTCAACACCCACCAGACACTTCGTGAAAACCACTACATAGCACAAAAATCAGAAATTTAAAATTCAAATTTAAGGTAATCTAGAAAGATGACCACAAAATAAAAAGAAAAGACGATAACCTGAAAAGCGAAATCTTTTTCTCCTCCCTTTAGTATTTCCTTGTGATGTTCCTCAATCTATCAAATAGGCAGCAATCTAAGATTATGAGGAGCAGCAAAACTAAAGAAGCAAGCAAGAAATTAAAAACTTCAGAAATGAAAAGGAAGCAGAAACTTGAAGGTCCAATCTAGTGTAAAATTGGAAAAATGACAGGGAAATAAATCAAAAAAAATTCATAACCTGAAAAGTTAAAATTTTTTCTCCTTTCAGTAGATATTCCTTCCATTTTTTCAAACTGTTTTCACATTTGAATACTATAACGTTGAGATACCAAGAACCATATATTACATACACTGAAAAAATGACTTCACACTAACCATAGAAAAAAGGGCTTTAAAAATCTCATTTGGCAAATGCACATACGAAATAAAAGCTCAAGTAAGATATTGTCAATAATATTAAAAAAACCCATAAAAGTATAAACAAACAATTATGAGATCAAACTTGGCTGTTTTGTCTTACAATTACTATGGGCAGAATAGATTGCTATTGTAGGCAATGAACCACATAGTTCAATCGTCAACACTGCTTTACCCAACTTGCTCACAAACACTTCTAGAACAAAGCCATGTAATTAAATGATACTGCTCAAAATGTACAAGCATTTGCTAAAAAATTGATCTTCTAGTTTTTGAAACATTAATGAGGTGTTATCAAGATTAAAATGCAAAGAAGAAAAGTAAGTTTGTAAAATCTACCCATTAAATTGGCGAAACAAATTGTGTAACCTAACCATGCTATGATAATAACCAAAGTAATAGGCTCTTTGACGAGGTAAGAGAGCCGAGAAAAAAAAAGGAAGAACAGGCCAGAAAAAAAATTGTCCCAGTCCAACTCATCATTCAAGAGTAGAAAGGCAAAGAAAATTAAAAGGCACAACTATTCAATATGTTATTTTTAACTTTCACAAGCAAATGTACATGTATCAACCCCCTGGGAGTTTCTATTCTAGCTTCGTAACCTTCAATTGTTGAGGAAAACAATCTATCAAATAAACAAAAGAACACAATTAGGTGATAATCTAAATCCTATCAGCATATACATTTAAGAATCTCGGGAAGGGAAAAATTTCTCTTATTCAGGGGGAAAAACCCCCAAAGAATACAAAATCAGTCTGTTTACCACCATGTATGCATTATCTTCAATGAATGTCACACTGGCAGTTATTAAGTGGATATTTCTTGCGTTTTTCCTCAATCTACTAAACAGAAATCAAAATATGACATAAATGGAAAATAAGACTATTAGCAGCAGCAAAACTAAATAACTAAACAAGAAATTAAAACATATAATCTTCAATGGAAAAGCCAAAAACAAAAAGAAAAAAGAAGGAAGCGGAAACTTGAAGGTCCAGTTTAGCGTAAAATTAGAAAAATGGTTGGAAAATAAACTACAGAAAAATTCGAACCTTGAAAAGTTAAATCTTTTCTTCTTCTTCCCGTCGACTTTTCTTCCATTTTTCCCTCAATTTATTAAAAGAAAAAATGAGATCCCTATCTGTCCAATAGACAGCAGAAATGAAATCATTAACAGCAACAAAACTAAAGTACTAAGCAAGAGATCTGAAATCAGAAACTTTTCTTACAAAAAAAAACGGAAACAAAAATTTGAAGGCTAGAGTAAAATTGGAAAAAGACTGAAAAATAAATTAAAGAAAATCGCACAACCTGGAAAGTTGATTCTTTTTCTCCTTCTCGTGGACTTTCAATCCATTGTCCGCAATCTATGAGAAGCAAAATGCGATTGTGAGTAACTGCAAATTCAAGAAAAAAAAAAGAAATAAACAAAAACTAAACAGAAAAACATCACAGTGGCTTATTTGTTTTTAATTTTTGTTGATTAACAAAGAAGAAAGAAAACATGTAGATGAATGATAGATCTGGCCATCGTTTGACAGAGAGGGAGAGCGAGAAAGGAAGAGTGTTCGTCTGAGGTATGACTGCTAAACCCCTCACAAAAAAAGATCCAAATGGCTAGAGAGAGAAAGAAGAAGAGATTACAAACCCCAAAAAAATCCCAACCATCCTCCTTGTTGTAGTTGTTCTCAGTCAAAAGCGAAAAAAGAACAGATGAAAATGAAGAGAAGAGAGGATGAGGGTTTTCTGAAGAAAGAAAAAGAAAGAGATGACGATTGAGAAAGGAGATTGACGGACAGAGAGAGGAAAGGAAGTTCCTCTGAAGCATCGAGCCCAATGCAATTCACGCGTGGGAATTCACACGGGTTGGAGTGCTGGACGACCATCGATTCGGAATTCCCACGGGCCGGACGACCACCAATCAACCAATGCAAGCAAGCCACGTCAGCAATTGAAGCCCAATTGAAAACTTCCCCATTCCCCAATAGACTAGATATGTTAACAAGTTAACCCTTGTGCGGGTTTGGAAGTCACCGTCGTGTCTCTCTCTTTCATGCGAATTTCCTTTTCGGAAACTTGTACGTGATTGAAAGTTTCCCCGCTTAAATTTCGCGCTAAACTCAAAAACTATCCATAAATGCAGCTATAGAGCACCCATTTCTCCTCGATCTGCAATTGGAGCTATAGTTGTAAGCCTAGACCTATTTTGAACTTTCTACTTGCCGAAGGATCAATTACAAGAGAAAACTTCTTGTGATGAGACGATTTTAAGGGTATAGTACTATGAATCTAACGGTGATAGTGTATACACTATCAGTATATATAAAATTTACTCTAAAAAAATAAGAATTAATCTTTCCTACATTGACAGTGTATACACATTGTCAGCATTGGATAAATGAGAACTATGCAAATGTATATAAGATTTATTCTCAAAAAATAAGAATTAATCTTTCCTACATTGACAGTGTGTACACTGTCAGCATTGGATGAATGAGAATTATGCAAAATTTGATTTTGAAATTCAAATTCTGTACACATGTCATGAATCTAACGGTGATAATATATACACTATCAGTGTATATAAAATTTACTCTAAAAAAATATGGATTAATCTTTCCTATATTGACAGCGTTGGATGAATGAGAACTATGCAAAATTTAAATTTAAAATTCAACTTTCACACACATATCATGAATCTAACGGTTATAGTGTATACATTGTCAGTGTATATAATATTTATTCTAAAAATAATTGATAAGAGCAGAATGCACCTTTTTATACTTGAATTCTAGGGACGGAAGAGGGACACAAACAGATGTCTGCGTAATTATTTGTACATGTCATGACACTTTTAAAATATGTTACGTATAATTTATCACAAACCATTAATATCCCTTTGTAATGGTCATACTATAACAAGTTACCTAATTATGTGAAACTGTATATATCAATTATGTCAAAATTATGTGTCGTGTGTCCCTCGGGGCTTGGTCTAGTGGCATGGGGGTGCTGAAGATGGGGTGATGTCCCTGGTTCGAGTCTCGCTGCCAGCAAGTTGCAGAGGCAGAGAATTAGTCTGCGGGGGTCTATTCCCCGTGAGAAATCCTAAAAAAAAAAAAAGTTACATGTCGTGATTTCAATAGTACATTTTCAAAATTTATACCGATAAATAAACTTGGACGTAAATTATTTTTGACTACCTTCCTTGCCTTTGTCCTCCAGCTATGAGCATGAACACTGCTATTATGGCCCCGTTTGACAATTGAATTTTTTGGATGTTTATCTAAAATTTTACTATAGCTTACTGTAAAAAATTTTTAAAAAATGTTTGAAGTGTGTAAATTTTTGAATATTTTGAAATGTATAGTTTAAAAATTTTGAGAAGTTTATTAAGGTTATTGTAATACAAACTTTTAAAAAATTTGTATGAGATAAACTTGCCTACCAAACAAGAAGTATATGTTGTGTACTAATAAAACTTGCGTGGTGTAGCGTTGAAGGTACGGCGGTTAAGACATAACGAGTTACAGCTTACGTTAAGAAGTTCATGGGAGCTTTTGCGATGGTTTCAAATTCAAGGGTTAAATTGCAATTGACCCCGAATTAGATAAAGTGCCCCGTCTCCAGCAGAGAGAGCAGAGCAACAGGAGAAACAATTGCGAACCGGCAGACGTCGAAACAAAGTTCGAAAAACTATCAAAAATGGTAAAACACTAAAATTAAGGATCCTACAATCTTTAGAAACTTAAGTTTCATCACGTATGCTGGTTTGGTTTTGTTAATTTGTCAAATGAAAACAGGTGTGCCTAGCGTGTTTGTTGCCCCTATTCCTGGTCCCAATCGTCAACTTGTTGCCCCTCCTCTTCGATTTCATCATGGTACCAACATGATCCTTCACATATTGATTACAGTTAGCCTTCACATATTGTTATGCATATGATTGCTTACACGATTTCGTTATTTTGTTTTTCTAAAATGATTTATTTGCCCATTTATACAATCTTCAGGGGAAAATATATAGGTTATTCGGTTGGGAATATCGGAAGCCGGAAAGGGCACCTCCAGCTTGTCCTTACAAGCCTTCTGCCACCAAACCAAACAGCAATTCGGTAAGTGATACATCTAGTGGCTGCTTTTTGATCCATGAAGAGTTGGTTTCAGGTTTGACCTAAATCGACATTATTTCGCGTAGAGCTTTAGCAATCTAGTTTCTTTAGTAGCTTAGTTGCATAATGATGCTGAACAGTATCGGATTCAGTTAACTGTAGTAAGTATAATTCTCTAGAAAGTAGTGGTAGCTTGTATTGGATTCTCTAGAACACAGGACTTACAAAACTCATCTCTTCTTTGTCCTTGGTAAATTTCATTTGAGTCTTCCTTCCCACTCTCTCTGGGACTTCTAGAAGCCTTTAACACTGGTTGTTCATCCCTTAAGTTTCTTTCATACCAAACAATAAAATTAGGGAAAAAATCTGGCTATGAGGTTATTTTATTTCTGCAGAGGAATGCCAAAATGTTAATTCAGAAACACCACACCTCGAGGAGTGAGCATTCGAATCTGTTGGAAGAGAGCTGCCTGTGTCATTAAGGCAATGGTGTTGAATAAGCTTTGCAGCCTGATTAACAGTTCCAAAAAATGAATTACCATCTATGAGTTTAGCTTGTCGGTTTATTTCATATGCTGAAGCATAATCCCTAGATTTGTCTTTCTGGCGCAAGCTGAGACATGAGAAGCCCTAGCTTTAAACCATTACAGCCAAGCAGAAACAGGAGTCAGGATAAGAAGTTCCAATCTTAATTCTTACAATGTTAAACCTTTAACAAAATATTTGCCAGACACACTGAATAAGGAAGCATTACAACAGATTCTTGAGCTATAAAGCTTCAAATAAAACCCTCTATAATTCGAAGTTCAATCAAACTTAGCAATTTTTTTTTTTAAATAGTAATGTCTTTTTAGGGTTGGATTGTGATTTGACTCACCCAGTAGTTGCCATCTTCTGGCCTTGAGATGGAACTAAAGTGATTTTTTTACCTTAAGACTAGGCTTTTCCCCCCCTATAATATGTAGTTGTTTTCATTAAATGTAGATTGAATGGACCTTAGCAACTAATATGCCATAAGGTCGCATCTCTAGTTCATCAGCATGCAAAAAGCTCTTTATGTACTTGAGACAAGCAGGGTCCTTTACTCAAGCTTGGGTATCCCTTGCTCAGATGAGTTAATGCTTGTAGTGCTAGCCCAAGTTCACAACTCTTATGGTTGTTCTGTCCTGCTCATGCATGTGGCACACAATTTAGCAAGCATCCTCAGCTACATGCCCTTTTAATTACAGCCAGCCTTGTATCCTTTTATGACCTATTTCAACTCAAGCTTAGCTGATTTGAAACCACGAGAAATTTAGGATTAGGCCTCATTAGGTCAAGTAGCCTTAAATGAGTAGATGATGATATGTTGACCATGTTGATACTCCTGAAAGTATGGTGTGGATACACAGGAGTAGGGTGATGTTATGTACATAACAGATCATTCATATCTATATGTAGGCAATGGAGATACAGCATTAACATGATGGTGTATGCATCAGACTGGGGCAATGATATGTACATATGTGTGAGTAGGGTGATAAGATGTACATCAACGCTGTTGAGGAACTTTTCTTTTGGTCTCTTAGAACTTCAATCAACTTGTAGACATTCGTTTGATCTTTTATACCACTTCTTCGAGGCATAGGACGTTAGGGTGGCTATGTGATAGGGGAGAGAGTGAGGAGGTCGAGCCGATTACGGCAATTGAGGATCTAATCCCGTTCTCCATGAGATAGTAATTCTTAATTTTGACTTGTAGAAATGAAGTTTCTAGTTTCAGTGGTAGGTTGTGGGTTCATGAGAAATATCTTTTGAGGCCATCTTTATTCTGAAGGAATGGAATAAGACGCTAGCTCATTGTTTAACAGTACAATTTGTTGCTATTATTTGTTTCTTTGCAGTTCCATCTGCCTCGTTGTTTTCCTCTTATAGTATGTGACACGTACATCTTTCAATGCATGCCTTCCTTCTTTTTAATGGCAAAGTAGTCTTGTTTTGGAACAGGTTGCCAAAGCAGACTCTGTTGCTCCAGATAATATACAGAAACCAGCTCTGATAGATGATAGCAAGAAAGATTGAAGTTGGATTTTTAATGTGTAGTGCCCGAAATTAACAGGTGTGTAAGCCTCTGAGAAGAAAGGTTTCATATCTCTTGATGGAGAATTGTATCAGATCTCTTTGGTGAATAAAGGTTGCTGAGACTAGCAAATGCTATCTGTGTCATTAAGGATGATTTTGGTTTTCTAGATCGACATTTAGTTGTTTGAAGATAGTATTTTCCTATAACAAACTATATGTATACACAGGCACTTCGAGAAAGGACTTGAGATGTGGAAACTATTCCTGTCTGCAGCAAACCAGGAAAAGTTTCTCTTTCCTATTGAGCTGACGGCAGTGTGTGTTTGTGTATGCCGCATGATAATGTGGTCCGACTTGGGCCAGTAGAATTTGTTTCCACCAGGAGCCACACAAATTTGGCCTCATGTTTTATACTTTCTGGAGCTTAGGGCTTTTCTTGGGAAGGGATTTTTTTTTTTTTTTTTTTTGTGGTTTTTTGGTTTTTGGAGGGGGGGTTGTGTGTGTGTGTGTTGGGTCGTTGCTCTAAATTTGTAAATTTTCTTGTTGCCATTGGAATTTTCATGCTTAAGATTAGTTCTGGTCAAGTTTCTAAACTAATATTACAAAGTCTTCAAGACTCAGCTTTGCTGATAAGAATATTAGTCAGGTAATGTTGAGGGCCTTGGTTTGACACTCAACGTCTCTCTTTTTCCCCTCCTCCCATGCAAGGCTTTGAGTCTTCTCTTGCATCTTAAGAAAAATGATAACAACAGGCCGAGTTTGAAAATACGATATATGAGACTAAGCAGGATTTTTGTGATGCTTTCAATAGAGGAGAGTGTTTGAGAATATTTGGTACCACAAGGTCACCTAGCTAATAACCTCTATGGTTAATTGAGCTCTGGGGATAGAATATTTGCATTCTGCACCAACGGTTAATAGGAAGGTCGGTATGACAATTGACTTTCCGGAACCTCCAATGGGAATCAATGGTGTGTGTGATTACACGTTTTCAAGAGTTTATTCATTCAAAACCATAATTGCACTCTACGCTGCTACTTTGCAGTGAGTTAAAATTTCATTGTAATTTTTCCTCTTGCTGTCTTCTATGTCTTTGGTTGGGAGCTAGGAGCATTCTCAAAAAGTTTTAAGTTTTTTTTTTTTTTTTTTGGGTGCTAAAACAAAAGATTACTGAAATTCGGTTGCTATGTTGGGGGCGTTGGGAATGGGTAATAGCAGTTAAGCACTTGCTACTCGTTCCCCAAGTACGTCGCTGCTGACGTGCTTTGGTTGAATATGGTGAAAATTACAACGTGGTCATGCTTGAAATATTTCTCAAACACTGCCAGTTTGGTGTCCATTATATTCGTTGATAGATTTCCGAATAAATGAGCGTCGCGATGGTGGTTTGAGCTATATGTCGGTGTCGGTCTAATTCTTTATTGTCCTTGGATTGGAATGTTTATCAAAAGGCACTTTGTGTATACTTTTAGCTCTGACCTTCTCCTGCCGCTTCACATGTGAACAGAATCCAACGGTTTGGACTTTGGAGTCGAGCAAAAATACGCCAGGCAACAGGACTTGTCCATCAAAAGCCACCCTCAGGACTTCTTTTTTTTTTTTTTTAGAAAACCACCCTCAGGACTTCTTAAATTAGGCATTAACCAGGCTACTCATTCACCATGGCTTCTATAATAATACCCCTAAATCGAACATGTCTATCAAAACCAACCACCCTTAAGACTTCTTAAATTAGGAACTAACCCATGCCACTCACTCACCGTGGTTTCTACAATAACAACCCCTAAATCATTTAGTAAGACGACCCTGTATTTTTGAATATATTGACCGTCTATCGCATGATTTTCACTTCACTAAGTGTAAAAAATGAGAGTTCTACAATATATTTCCAATATCATGCCAATGAATATGAATTCACCATTGGATATGTCAAAAAGGGTATTATTAGTCTCTAGATGATTTTAGAAGTTTGAATTATCGAATGGTGTGTCAAGAGTTTATTAGATTACAATTATGGATATGGTATACGGAGAGGGTGGTATAATTTCGTCCCAAAAAAAATGTAGTATAAATTTGAATATAACGAAATTAGCCCTACTTATGAGATGTTATTTTCAAACCACAATTTTTGAGAATTTACTAACTTTTTTTATTTGGGAGAGAATTTTTGCAAAATGATTTTAAGTGACGGACACTATTTTACTTTCTTTTTTTTTTCGGCACAGGGGTGTCCGGGTCAATCCTTACGGGACTCGACTAATCCCCTGCGGTCCCGCAGAGGAGGCACCACTCCACTCCGGATACGGTAATTCCAAGCAGACTCGAACCTTGGTCGCCCAAGACCGGACAACGCCCCTAAAGAGAAAAGCACGACCGACTGAGCTGCTTGGGGGGGCTCGGACACTATTTTACAGGGTGGCTAAAAAATGGGGGAAAATGTTTTTTTTTTTCCTTTTTAACAATGGAGGAGTAGTGGTGATCACTGATCTTTTTTTTTTTCTAGAAAACAATAGAAGTTTTTATTAAATTTTCAAAACTAGATAGTATTTAAGCAAAGGTCCAATCAGTTTTGCATGAGTATATCCGACACTTGAGGAGTGACAAAAATTCTCTCCTCATATGCTAATGTGCGTAGTGGTGATCGGTGATCAAGTTGGTATCCTTTTATGGTTTTCCCATTTTCCAATCTGTAATAATGAATAGTAGTATGTGTCTTGGTGTTTGAGATACTTCCACGTGCGTTTTTTCCACTTGCTAAATGCACGTGTTAAATGTGCGTTACCTTTTTCCAAAGCATACTAGTGCTAGTGCTTTTTTGCACACTTACTTTAGTGTGTGCTTATTTTAAAAACATATATAATTAATTATTTTTTTCAATAAATTATTGTATGTAAAATTATACTATGTTAGAGCATGTGTATTTAAAGAAGGGACATGGGAAGTTGGAGATGGAGCCATTGGACCTCGGCTGACTTCCACCGTAGATGAACCTAAAGTTAGATGGGTCAATCTCGACCATCCATCAAATTCTCAACACCTGAGAATTCAGATCCCCGTACCCCATTCTAGTTGTGCCTTTGTTTTCTTTTTCCGCGTATAGTTTACGATTATTGCTCGCTTGTAACTGTTTGAGCTTTTCACGTTGCATAAAGTAAGATGTGGGAGGGAGGCTGCCTATGACGATCGAAGAAGAAATCAGAACAAAAAAAAGGGGCAATTGCTTCCTGTTGTTTTTTGGGGCAATTGCTTCCTGTTGAGTAGTGAGTAACCCTTGGGCTTTTTTTTTTTTTTTTGTGGTAGAAGTAGAGCTCTGTGTCAGACTCTGCCTCCACATGATGTGTGCGGCCTCCGTCAGTGGGGACTGTTGGAATTTTGGCTTAGTTAAATGTGGCAAAGTGCCATGTCGTCATGGTATTGCATCATGCAGTATTATTATTACTGCTCTTAAGCGGGGATATATATATATATATATATATAAAATAATGGTGGTGAAAGAGAAGAAAGCAACTGGAGGAAGACATCTAATGGTGGCCCTGCCTCCATTCTTTGCTCTCTTTCTTTCGTTCGAGTCTGACAAAGAGCCCATGACAGCGAACCAATGTTTTAAAAATCGGATCGTTCATTGAACCGATGAAGTGAAAGGATCGAGATTCAACCGATCGGACCGGTTCAACCTCGATTTAATGGAAAGAGTCATGAGAGGATGAGATTTTGTAAGAAAAATGGAAAAAAGAAATATGAGTGTTTACTTTATATAAAGTTATCAAAAAAAACTAATAGAATGTGATGGTGCAACGGTTAATACATTGGTCTTCTATTACAAAGGTCTTGAGTTCGAGTATTGATAGCTGCATTTTGCAAAAAAAAAAAAAAAAAAAAAAGTTGAAAACCGGTTCAATAGCGGTTCGATTACGATTTTTACGGTTCGACCGGTTCTTGACCGATTTTCTGACAAAGTCAACTATGGCATTGAACCGGACCGGTGCCATGGCCGGTTCGCGATTCAACCGGTCGAACCGGCCGATCCGATCCGATTTTCAAAACATTGCAGCGAACAATGTAGTAGGGCCAATCAACAGGAGTCACGTGTCAGTTCGAACATGGTAACCTGTCGGCTCGAACAGGCCAGTTCGGGCAAAAAAGACGCCAGTTTGTGCATGATTGCCGCCTCCCAACTGGATGGGCCTAGTGGGCCGTGGCCCCCGAACCTTTCGAAGCTAGCAGACGGAGCTTTAAGAATACTCCATCTCTACTATGACTCGTACTCCTATAAAGAAACTACTACCCGGGATTCTATAAATACAACATGGTGGGACAGGACAAGGTACGCTGTCTACAGTATTTACGCTGTTGAGACTCTTAACCTCTTACTGATTAGACAGTCGGAGTTACACCGGAGAACCAGCCCTCTCGTTAGTCTTTCTTGTAGGTCAGCTCGCTCACCTCGCTAGTACCAGTTCGTCTCCTTATAGCTCGCTCAGGCCGTAGCAGCCCAACTCGGATCACGTTCTCGGCTGTCTCATCAAACAACATTGTTGGTTTGCCCTAAACAAACGGATCCATCTGAAATCTAGTATTGAGAGATATACTAGACGTGTTGTATTCATTATTGTTCAATGTGGGAGTGACACCTCACCAACGGATACTTGTAATGATTGATGAAAGTAAGTGTTCTGCCTTGGGTCATGACCGGTTGTTGTAGATTCATAACCGGCAACATATGTATTAAAAAATGAGAGAAGTGGGACTCGGTTCAAAGAATCAAAAGAGCATATTCTTGTATTTTTACTGTACACATCATGAAAATTTATGGTCTTCCCAATGAAATTGTATCAAACAAAATTCAATTTTTTTTTGACAAAATTCAATCTAGTTGTACCATAATTCGATTGTCCGAGGATTGGTTCCAATTTTTGTTGTACAAGTTGCATTCAATGCTTTCACCAACAGCAGCTATAGCGTTTGGAAATAAGTTATAAAAAATTCAACGTATTGAAAAGATTGTTGGTAACCACTGGGCCAATGGCTCTGTGGCCACTAGGGACTTAAGTCCCTCATTGGGCTGTAGATGAGGGTTCGAACCTCACCTGCAGCGAAAAAATTTAAGGGTTGTGCTATAACACTTCCTTTGTCTAGTTAGGTCTGTATACCCACTCGATTGGAAAGGATCCACCACAATGCATATGGAAGAAAAGTAGCAGAAAATCAATGAAGAAAAATCAACAAAGAAAACCTCCCAAAGTTGAAAAGAAGGTAAGTAATATTTATTAAATTTTGATAAAGACCATGTTTATGTTTTTTAAATAATTAGATAAATCACTAATGTTAGAGGAAAATGTTGTCTCCAGGTCTTACATTATATGGTGGGATATGCACCTCTTTGTTTGATTAATTTTTACGAACT